CGGTTGTTTGCCAAATTGAGTTACGCTGATTGGGGTGTTATGATCTGATTACGTGATCAAAATATCAGTGGCGTAGTTAAGTTGGTAGCTTAATATATTTCACTACTGAGAAAAAGTTATATAGTTATTCTACGATACTCACTACCATCAACTGTAGAGATCGACGAATGAATTATTCATCTATACATAGTATTATACAAAGTCGCTTCCCGCTGTTTGCACGCTGAGATCTTATAAACTAGGTATATAACGGATTTTAAAAGGATTGTCATCAATATGCAGAGTGATCCTAGAGAAAGACTTATATGTATGATACAAGACTAAGCAGGCGAAACCGAAAGCTAATCTATATACATATATATCATAATCACACACGAATAGCATACACATACACTCAATTACACATAAACCTTTGTAATGTTTAATTAGATGTAATTCAGAAAAATACGAGTAGTGGAATATACTCTTATCATTCATTTCTTGAAAAGGGCGAATTACCCATTAAACAGTTGATTTTGAATAAAAAAAATAGATTTAATATACATACTAGGGAAATATGACGCCGTTTAGTAATGTTTTTGTTCTTAAACTATATCTACAGTTTATGAAAGCACATCCAGGCATTTCTTCTACCTTTTACCCTCTGAATTTGTGAGAAGTGTCGATAGGTGAGCATGCACCTAATTTGTAGTTTCCATTAGCAAAGCGCTTAATGCCGTATCTTCCCTTATTGTTTTAATCAAAGGTTGTGGGAGACCTCTTTTGTTCTTTTTATTTCTTCGTAAAAAAATATTATAAAAGCTTTAAAAGTTAATCTTATTTAATATTTTTGTCTATTTAAAATACTTTTACTTTTTCTTTAACTTTTTCTTATAAAAAAATACCTTTTTGAAAAAATATATATGATTAACAAATCAAAGGAATACTATGTTCGTTAAAGTCCAAAAGTTAAAACAGTATGGTATGAAATATTTTCACAGCAAAAAGAAGGTATCGATTTCATTTCTTACTTGGCATTGATTTTTTTTACTGTTTCCCCTATTCAGTTTGCTTTTTTCTTTTATTTCTATTTCTATTTCCTTTTGTTATTGGAGGTTTTTCCACTTTATTTCATATTTTTTACATTTTTCTTATTGCTATCTTACATTACCTTAATTCTAATTTATATTTACATATCTCTTTTGGTTCTTATTTGAGCTTTGCATTTATTAGGGAAGCTTAACTAAAACACGTGTTTTTTTCCAAAACAGCTAACCTACGGGACACTACTCCACACGTAGACGCTGAAAAACAGCTATTATAATATTAAATATTTTTATTTTACATTATTTAACTAGAACCTTATATTATAGAGACACTACGCTTAACATAGACCAGATAAATCTAAGACCATGTAATATTTTTGTTATATTTGCTCTGTCAGGTTCTGTCGCAATCACAATTTTAACATTTACTCTTTGAAACTGAGATACTTCATGATACTTCAAAGAGAATTTACGATACTTCTGTCATGAAAATAGGAAGTTGTTAGATTAATTTCTTCAAAATCTTTAAAAATTGTTAGTTATGCTTCAATTGCGCAAAATAACGCCTAAAATAAGAAAGAAATCGACATAATAATTTTATACGTCGGTTCTTTCTACAACTGGTGTAAGTATACCATTGTTATAGTCGATTCGTTTCATGAGAATGTATTCACACTGGTAAATCATGTCATCATAATTCTTATTTTTATAAATTACTATTTCACTCCTATTTCCTTTTATTACAATAAAATTTTAAGGGTGCTTTTCCATGTGAGATGTATTATACAGCTGTGCCGAGAGAACGCGAAATTATGTGATAGTATCCAATGCTACTAAAATATGTAGCGTAGCGTGTAGCGTGCTACGGAGATAGCTACACAATTCGCGACCCTCAGCACGCATTCAGATCACGCGCCCATACTACGCAACTATAGCAGCCACCGTCCATCTATAATACATACTATTTTTATGTTACTGAGTGACTGTAACAGTAGTGGCGTAGCGTGGGTGATTCATAGATAATTTTGCGGCCTTTCTTAATTAGGTATTTCATAGGTATTTAATATATACTATACAATATGTACATTAATTTTAAAGAATTTCCCTTCCCCCCCCCCTTTACACTACGCCACTTACAGACAGACAACATATAGCCGAAACTACTGAGTGTAGAAAGTTGAAATTTGGAAAGAAGATTCCTTAGGGAGTTCAGAGGAGCACTAAGAGAGGATTTTTGAAAATTCCACCCCGAAGGGACTAAAGTGTTAGGAGTTTCAAATTTTGCATGCGGGTTCTTTTTAGGACGTACGTGTTCACTAAGACGGGATTCTACAAAATTCGACTCAAAAGGGGGTAAATTAGGGGATGAAAGTTTGTATGGAATTTTTGTCATATCTGGACTTAAAACTTAGACCACGCGGGCGAAGTCGCGGGCAAAAGCTAGTAAAAGTATTAAAATCGCTTTCTGCTATCTTAACGATTCTTTTAAACTGCACGAATGATTTTAATACAATTTTAATCAATATACAGACAGATTCAAAAGTAAAATTTATTTTTATATGTGTAATAAGTATAAACCATGCGTGCGAAGCAGCCGGCGGAAAGCTAGTTTAAAATCTAGCTTAATTGAACTCACAGACTAGACCGGTCTTAAGCGGTGATCCTCGGAGCACTGGTGATCCTACGGAGCATCCTAAATTTGTCTTCATTTAGGTAATGCGCAATAAACCAAATGTATACAGCCAATTTGCAAGTCAATTGGACCCTAATTACTGAAAGATTAATAACTACCATATTATACAAACTGTATAATATTTAAAATTTGCTTATTTACGTACTGCAAATTATCTGCATTTATTTGGTTGACGTGTTGCATTGTAAAGATTGTAATGAACTAACTAACAATTGACTAAACTAACCATAAAGAGATGGGAGACAATTTTTTCTTTTGTTTGTCATTCAGGCAGATTTTTAAGTATAATAATCACGTATTTTTAATTTTTAACTTAGTCAATAAATACCAGCGATACATTCATTGAGTTGAAATGTCGCATGCCTGATATGATACGCCTTTGTAAATTTTCTACATAATTGTGACGCAGCGAGCCACCACGCCTCAGTTTTAATGCCTATTTTGTAAGCCATTTCTTGTTAAATTGAAGCAAAAACAATACCTATGTAATATTTTTCTGTTATCTGAATTTCTTTCTTTTTTACCCATGCTATTGACGAATAATGTGACCGATAAAATTTATATTTATTTGTATGTGCTTATTGTCTAGCTGATTGACTATTTTCAAAACAATATTTTCTAAATCACGCATACCCATAGATTTTTGAAATATACCAAAGTTTCACTTAGAAATAAATAATTTTGACAATATCACTAAATTGCTCAGATTCCAAGATGAGTAAGTAGCTAAAGCTCCCGTATTATTTATCTGAGACAACCAAGGTACCACAACACGTAGACCCCGAAGCTATATATAAAAGTTACTTTTCAACAATGACCGGATCGGGAATCGAACCCGGTATCTCAAAGATGGCGACACCATGAAACCGGCCTGCGAACTACTCGGCTATGGAGGCAGTTATTAACAGCTAGTTAAGCAGGTAATACAAAGAAATCTTTAGTTGAACCAATTTCCATCATCTATACTAATTTTATAAATCTGAAGAGTTTGTCAGGAACTACTGGTTCGAATTGAAAAATGTTTTTGTGTTGAATAGACCATTTATCGAGGAAGGCTTAAGGCTATATATCATCACGCTGCAACTATTAGGAGCGAAGAAATAATGGAAAACGCGGACGAAGTCGCTGGCGGCCACTAGTATTTGATAAAGAGAATTGGTGGAGCCACTGAGCTCTAATTAATGAATCTAACAGCAAATTGCACAAACGTCCATTAACCAGTTGCACAAAGTTCTCATTAGTTTATATATGGGTAATGACCCATACAAATATGAATTCATTAGAGGTTAAAGGCGTGATTGAACATGAATAGACGTCTGTGCAACCGACCGTAAGTTTCAAAATTTGTATCGGTAATGTTGCTTTCGATTAAAAACAAGTATAATGACCGTTTGTGCAACTGGCTGTATGAGTGGAGCAATAGGGATGATGCTTGGATAAAAAAAGTAATTTTATTTAGTCCGTCAGTCAGATAAAAGAAATATATATATTTACCTCAATGTAACAAGAAATATCTTAGATAAAAGGCATTAAACTTGAGAAGTGTTAGGGTGGGCGCTCGCTACGTCATTGTTTTGTAGAAAATGCGTGACGTCATGTGACATTTTCAACTCGATGTATCGTCGTAACAGACAAAATAGACAAATATGGGTACTAATTTTTCAAAGATCAACTTTATGAACAAACAAAAAAATAGGCAACAAAAATTTGGGGCGACAAAATTGAGCGTGTTAAATTTTTTCTTTAGTGAAAAAAACTACACTGTTTTATTCGGAAGTCCAGTAAGCTAATATTATAGGTATTATATATAAAACATCACGAACGAAATCATCATGTACGTTGCTTATATTCTAAGAGGAGTAGCTTAAGCTCTGGTATTATGGAGTATCTGAGGCAACGACGGTAGTAACGATGTTTTATGATAGTACACTCGCTACATAGTGATTGGTATTAGTGTAAAGTGTTACATAGTGGAAAAGCAACCTTAACATATTACGATACGTTTCAGATTCAAATTAGAGGGTGAATCTACTTTTATTCAAGAAGCATGTGTTGTATATTCACTTGTTGCGGTTGGATGATCGATCTCGTACAAAGGTTTTTGTTTTTTTTTTTATTTATACTGATATTTTCAGATTTTTTTTTTTCTTTAAATTATTTTAAAATTTTAACTTAGGAAACTGTTATATAACAAAAAAATATTAATTGGAAATAGAATTACTATTTACTTCGAGAGTTTTTTGACCGCCTGAAATTCTGATATTATACTGACCCAAACTCACGGCATCTGAAACATGCAGATTCAGATCTTGTTTGGGGCAAATATTTTTATACTGACTGAAACTCATGGCATTTGAAACATGCGGATTCAGATCTTGTTTGAGGCAAATATTTTTGGTATCAAAATCAACATTTTATTCATTAAACTTTATTTATCAGTACAGAATTGGCACAAAATGGTACAAAAAGCGGACCTTATAACCGAGGAGTCTTAAATATTAATTTATTTACTAGCTGTTTTACTGACACTTCGCCATCGTAAATTATAACCTATATCATTCGCGTATGATGAAGTTTCTGAGGATTTATTTATAAGCTTTCCGAAGATTGTATCCTAAATATAAACAAAGTTATTAACTGTCTCTTTATAATAGTTTAATTAAAGGTATTAAAATGTGACGTTGTTCTCTAATTTTATATTGTTCGCGTAGACTTGTTAATTATTTTTAAGATAAAAGTAATTAACAATGAAATAACCAATATCTATACTAATATGATAAAGAGATTAAAAGTAAAAATAATAATTATTCAAATAGTACTATTAAAAGTACATTTGAATTGTCCAAAAACACACATTTGATTATTTGTTTGCTTTGAAAAGGATCGATTTTAAAAAGTCTTTCATCTCAGCAAAGCTACATCACGCCGGTGATTAAGATATCACCGGCGTGATGTAGCTTTGTTAATATTATAAAGGCGAAATTTTGTAATTTAGTATGTTTGTTACTTCCTAACGTAATAACTACTAAAAGGATTTTGATGAAATTTGGTATATGGATAATTCTTAGCCTGGATTAACATACAGGCTTCTATTTATTCCACTGAATTCTATGCACTACGTGGACGAAGCCGCTGGCGTAAAACTAGTAGGTTATAATTTACGCGAGTGAAGTTGCGAAAAAACAGCTAGTATGTAATAAATTAAAAAAACATTAAATACCAAATCTAAAATTACTATTATGTATATCTGTCAGTGTGAAAAGATTACCTAAACTGTGATACAAACGGAATCATAAGCAGCAGATCTATTTTGTTAAGAAATACATCGTTGCAGCATTGAAGGTTCAAATCACATAAAATCGACTTCAAAAGGTAATAAATGCTTAATATGATTGAACTACAATAGCGCTGTATTTGGCGCTGAAGGCCTGTTCCCCGACAATGAGGATATTAACAGATTGGTTTGATTATGTTATTGTCTATTTGCAGAGTATGGATGTTCGTGATGTCCTGTTGTATGTGTTCGGCCGTGTGCATGTCATTTATGACCGCCTCGATGTCGGGCATAGCCATGGGTTATAATTACTCATTGGCTGAATACATCGACTCGAAAGGTATATCCTAACATTATTTACCATAACATACAGGTTAAAAATTATTTTAAAGAATTCGGGTTTTTTCGCGGTAAAAACTATCATGTCTTTTTTCAAGATCAACCCTAACTTAATAAGAAATTTCATCAAAAGTTACTTTCGTATTTATAATATCAATATGGATTTATTATTTCAAAATATTATTGTCTCTAACTCGTCCGTGGTCTCGTGTCTATCTTTTTTAGGACTAAGCTTTACATTCCATAATTCTTTTACTTTTATACTCGTAAATAAACAGCTTCGTACTTTTCGGTGACAGCTTTCTCACGTTATATATATTCAATCAAATAAAACCTACTTGAAAAGGTAATAAAGGTTTTATTTAATTGATACTCAATGCCGTGACAGCGTTGCATTCAACGACAAATTTCAGGCTGTTTTAACAGAATAGAATAGATGGCTGCGTCCGTAGTAGGAAACATATACTCACTGAGCTCGCGTCCATTCTTTCTATGTAATTCAGAAGACCTGTTCCTCAGCAGCTTTTTTTTTCTCCGTTTATAATGTATTGATCTGGTAATGACATGGTTTTTGTGAATGTCATTACTCTCATTAGAGCTGGTGAGTTTCTTACTCGTTCTCCTTACCAGCCAAAAGACATCCTGAACGAGTGGTAGGGGAAAAATGTTGAACGATTCAAAAGAACTTTTAATAAGTCTATTGGAATAAAAATTATTTTGACTTTGACTTTAAATGGGAATATTAAAAGTCGGATAATTATGATGACTAAGCATTTAACACATTGACTACGTAAGAAAAAAACAATGACTTTCGGTGCGGTGGCAGTCCAAATATGCACCTATTTGACTTTCTTACTGTGCGTGGCAGGGCCTATCGACCCGACACCTCTGGGTGGTATTAAAGTTCTATAATCTCAGTCAAGGCGTATTGTACGCTACAAATCTTTAAACTCTGAAAATTCTCATGAATCACTTGTTTATACAGAAACCCCGCCTCTAAACCTAAATAGCGAAATTTAAAATTAATTCGTCAGGTCGACGAGGCCCGATACCGCACTATGATGATGATGGAACATTGAAAGAAAAGAGAGTATGAAGTCATTTATTATATTGATTTTAATAAACAAAACCAAGCCTCATTAATATGTTAAATAAGCCAAAAATATTAGTAATTAAGATAGACCAAAATATAAAACAATTAAAATTCTTTTATAAAAATAATACTTATGTATGCCTAACCATGTAACATGTTATGCAAAGGGAGTGATTACACTTGACACATACTGTTTTAATTATTTTGACTTTCTTTTTTGCTTCTAAGGAAGTCTATATCAGTCTTAGCTTTTCTTAGTACTATTTCGTAGGATTATTAATTACCAAAATTGTAATTTTGCTTGTGGTTGGCTTAACTTCTTGTTTTTGCTAATTTTTCGTTTAGAAACCTTTAAAAATGAAACGCTGTATTCTTTTCCGGTATCACTTCCATTTTTTGTAACGAAGCTTACACGAAACGTGGGCAATCGCTATAATACTGGCGGCATGACGCGTACAAATCAACACAGTGCCGCAACATGTCCCGAGCGGTCATCTTCTAAAACAGGCCCGCCCCCGCACTGAAATTTTTTTTTTTATGTTCTATGCGGCGGAAGTCGAAAATGGCCTCACGCATTATTAAATTGCAATTTTCTGCATTGTTAATCGAATACTATATTTGTCATACTAGTAAAATGCCCAGGATATAGGTTTTACATGTGCGCACATTGAATAAGTACCGCGACAAACTGATTGTGGGTGAACCACAGAGAAGGTATGAAGTCCACCATTTAACTTTGGTGATATATTTCGTAATAGCGTTTTTTATAGTATAAGTATATCAATTTCTTTTTGTAACGGTTCGCTGCTTTGAAAATTAATAGATAATGGCGATTTGTTTAAACCTTTTAAGTTTTATTTGTAATTGTAATGCTAATGCTTAAAGGGTCACTTTATTTACATAAAAGTAGTACTGTAAGTAAATCCCTTAAGCTGGGTGTCCATTAGAGACATCCGTGTTAAATCTCCCGAATTGAAGAACGCCGCACCCACCCTTATTTAAGTATTGTTAAGAAATTATATATTTAGTCTTTAGGATCTAAAACCGATACCTTTGCCATAGAAACTAACAAGAGTATATGTAAACTAAAGCATACACACTGACGAGTGTCAGCAATTTTTTTTTCAGCGAGTTTTTTGGTAGTTTCACCCATTGCAAATCAGAAACATATCTGCAGTTATGTATAACAAACTTTTTTGACAGTCAGTGATTGTTGCGTGTTGCGTATAACTTAACCATTATATTGACTTAACGCTGCTGTGCTGTGCGCAAGCCTCCCACATGCCACCGATTTGTCGGCGGGCAGTACGCGCAAACGCATGCTTTAGATATGTAATGTCCTTTACGATTTGGTTCAAGTTTAGCATCTCTGTTTAAGAAGTTTTAGTTAATCAACTTGATATAATATTAGTACAAGCGCCGAATGATGATTTAGTGTCAGTTTTTTAAACTTTCTTGATGGAATCCCTATCCCAATTGACCGATTGATCTGATCTTTAATTCACACGTTTAGTTATGATGACAGCACGGTTATGTGCGCTCAGCATTATAAGAGTGCAGCCGCCCAAAATGGTGTCAAATTAACAACTAAATGACGGATACTAAAGATACCTAGTCAATTTTTAATACTACATTTCTGTATAGTAAATAAATAATCCCATTTAAGACTTTTTTACTAATTATTTCATTGTTTTAGAGACAAACGTATCGGTGTTCTTGAAACGAGGTGTGTTCGATGATGAATTGGGAGATGATCAGGGTTTCCGAAGAGCTGGACATTTGCCTGTATCTGGTCTAATTAAGGATTCAGACCGTAAGTTGACATTAGTATCAATTGTTCGCATTCATATTAATCTAATTTCTTTATTAATGAAGATTAAATTTTATTCTAGTTGTTACTAGTGATCCCGAAGATTTAGCAATGGCAGAGAGATCAGGTAGAAGGCTGGATGATTCAGTATTACATTCTAACGATAAAAGCAACTTTGAGGGCTCCCTGATGAAGCTAACAGCGAAAGCGCCTGCTGCTACTGAACCCCCTCCTACGTATAAAGACGATGAAGAAATAGTTGAAGTTAGTACCTGGCTATGTACTCCTACAAATACGATAACTGTTTTATAATTTATTCTGTTTAAACTTGGATACTTTAATGCCGTGGAAGGGCAAAGCATGTTAATGCTCAACATTCATCAAAATTGCTTTAAGGATTTATATTATTTTGATGACGACCCACGTTCGATTTGTTAGCTTATGACAATTATAATTGTGAAACTATGATGTCTAGCAACTTTCACCTGCAGTCAGAATCTGCAAGACCAAGATCAACCACTGGTTGGGTATGTAAGATCTAAGATTTTTGAAGAGAAGAAAGGCGAAACAAGTATATATTGATATTTTTTTTGAAATTTGGTCATTTGCACATATTTGTGTACTAGTGGTGCACAAAAAGTCTTACATATATACAGTGTGAAAGTGCCAAATACCATCGTTTCACAGTTATAGTCATGAATTTATTTAACACTGTTATGATGCTCGCAAAAACTCAAACTACTTATCAATGATTTTAGAACTAGGATTTGATTTTCCGTTCAATCAATGTCATATCTGCCCCGCTATAATCATGAACCTTTCTTCATTAATCAATTCTCTGAATTTAATGTTAAAAAAAACTTCTTGTCAATTACGTCCAATGCAGTGGGCAATTACTGAGTCAGCTGGAAAATGGTAATGCTAATCCTCTATGAAATTCTTTCTGTACTTACTTATATAGTTAACTTTCCATATCTGTTAGTGAATTTCCATCATCCTGGAAAGAAGCTCAGGTTATCTAACCAGATAGGTACCTGAGCTTCTTTCCAGATAATCGTCACATATCCTTATTATTACTGTACTCTTTGGTCACATATCCATCCTCCCATTCCTATCTAAGGTCCTTGAGCGTCTTGTTCATAACCAACTTAGCATATGCCTAATTAAAAACAACTGCCCTTATCAAGATAAAGAATGATGACCTCAATGAAGCGTATTATCTCATTTTCTTTTTGCTGTTTCCTGTTCCTTTTCCTGTCAATTAGTTATATCCTTTCATCTTAATGCAGGCGATTTGTAAATTCATATGAACGAGCCCGCTGAGGATACTAGTTTTTCCGTTAAAATCTCAATAAAGATTAAGCTCAGATTTTTCAATGGAGCCGCAAACATGGGCTTCGGATGAATCCTTCCAAAACTCAAGTTGTCGTAGTAAGTGAGCTCAAGACTTAAAGCCAAAACTAAGTTTGTACAGATCTCGCAAATAGATTTTGATGAAATAACCTTACAAGTCAGGAAAGTGATAATGTTAGAAACTTAGCTGTATATATTGATAAAAACTTAAATAGCGATGTGTTACTTAAAGAAGTGAGTCGCAAACTTTTTTGCATCTGATGGGTCTTTAAGAAGGATTCGCAGTTTCTTGCCTACTGCCACTAAAATTGCGCTCACACAATCTCTTTTGATGCCCATTGTTGATTATGTCGATGTCAGCTATCTTGACCTTACAGAAATACAACTGAACAAGCTTAAATGCCTTCAAAATTTTGCATTACATTTATATTTGGATTACATCACGTTTCCGAATTTCATGAGAAACTCAAGTGGTTGCCTATTCGATTTCGCCGGAATTTAATATTTTAGAAACATTATTTAGTATATTTTTTAAATCCTAACTCCCCTACCAACTTTCCCTTCTTATCTCAAAAATCGTATCAAATTGAATCCCACCCCTGTTTCTTGAGATCATCAGAAAACCTGCGTTTATCGATTCCCATGCATTGCACTAAGTTTTACGATAAATCTTTTACCGTCCACTCTGTACGCTTATGGAAGGCGCTGGGTTTATCGATTAGTGATGTTAATTCTATCAATATACTTAGGAAACTTGTTAGAGAGCACTACTTCTCCATGAAAGTATATATATAGATATTATATGTTTATATATCTATTATATTTCATATGAATAATAATTATTATATTACAGTGTATGTAGGTTATAAGTATTAAATTATAACTAAATAACAATCGTCTATAATTCTAGGTTTATAATTTTTTATACGTACACCATCCAGTATCCCATCATTGGGTCTTTTACATTTAACTCCATCCCGAGGTAGCCTGGACGAGATCACTTTTAGTGATAAGGCCGCCAATTGTACGTCTCCTGTTTTCGTTATATGTATAAAATGTTGTTTTGTATGTACAATAAAGAATATTCTATCTATCTATCTATCTACTTTTAAAACATATTAGTATTTTAACGAGCCTTACTATGTCAGCATTGAAACCTTTTGTCAAATCAGTTATAATTTATAATAAGTAATTTAATTTTTTCAGTATGTGAAAAAGTTTTCCACTGACTCTTTGGATCAGCTAAAAGCAATTCAGAGTCTCATGAATATGAGAAAATCGGGCGACCGTAGAATCACAATAAATTACGATAAGGTATTTATTCAGTATTCGTTATAAAGATTCCTCGAATGGATGGTCATAGAATTAATATTATATTTTACTGAACATTAGAATGGAAAAAACCCCTCAGGGTTCGTATTGGTCAGCTTAGGCACTATTTAAATACAAGTAGATCGCTTTATTTATTTTTAATCAGAATATTTAAGTATATTGATTATATTCGCCTCAAGAAGCCAACTACAACTAATGAGTAAATTATCATGGTCCTTTAATTAATATCCATGCATTTGACAGCTTTTACAAGAGTGTTGCTTTTAACATACCTAGTTTTTGTTCACTCGTGAAAGTATAATGTATCTGAACTATAAACTACGTAAGAGCACCATAAGTGCTTTGAAATTTTGAACTACGTAAATTTTTTCAGACAACCACATTGGACCCAAGGAGAAATAATTTATTAATGGGGAGAAGAATGATGATCGAACCAGAGTCACCTGAAAACAATCACGTTTATATAGAGAAAGCTGCTATACCATACGAACGCTTCAATTTTAAAGAGAACCCTATTAGGACAGCAGTACCTGGCAGTTTTATTGGCGAGTCCGCTAATTGGTTGCTACCGAATAATATAGAAAAATCATATAGAGGGACACTGTATAGTAATGAAATGTATAATGACTTCCACGCTACTACGCCCGGTTACCCTAAACCTATAAGATACAAAACAGGTGTTGAAAGGCCAACTTTGCCAAATCAAGGTGTGTCAAAGCAAACACCATCATTGCAATCAGATAACATACCAAGAGGGGAAATGGACGCTAGGAGATTGGACAACTCAGAACTCAATAGAGTTAAAGATAAGCTGCTAATGGACAAAGCTATGTTTCCCAGGTATATTGTATTCTCTGTACATATTGTATGCTATTACTTTTTACATTTCAATAATGTTAACTTAGTTAATCTAATGGCTTTTATTCTTGTATTTTATAGTTTCAAGAACATAGATAATGAGAACTTGGATAAACAAGATCTAGACAGGTCTGAGGAAGCTGATTACGAAGAGGAAGCTAAACGAGGTATTCGAGTAAGAAAGAAGCGAAATATTCATTCAAACGAGGTTATCATAAAAGAAACCATTTATACTTTACCCATTGGAACATCCGGTAATTATATTAAAGTCGAACACGATAGAAAAACTGGTAAAGGATCTGTGGATAGAGAAAATCAGATAATATCTGATGATATAAAATATACCGATAGTATGACTGAAGAAATGAGAAAAAACATTTTAAATTTGACGGATAATCTTGATCATGGTAATAGTATTTTTAAAATGAAATTGAAGAATACAACAATGGAAATGATAAATAATACAATGAACCATAGTGAGTTTACTCCTATTACCGTAACAAAGAAACCGATTAAATCTATTTTATCGTTACTAAAATCTCATTAAACCTGAATGCGATATTTGTAGTAATTGTATTGTGATGCCAAATTAAGTTTGTATGTTTAATAAAGTTGAACGAATCTAATTTGTTTTGTAATTTATTATATCACATTTCACACCTACAATCACTTTTCACAGTAGCGTTTAGGTTTCCGTGTCCAAAAGGGAACGGGCCTACTAAGACTTCGCTGCCATTTGTCTGTCTGTCACCAAGCTGTATCTCATGCACGTTTTCAAATAATGTATTACTATTGCCGCTTTAACAAATAATACTAATAACCAGAATAAAATAAATATTTAAGTAGTGCATGGGCACCACACGTCATTTTTTTGCTTGTTTTTGCTCGATATTGAAAACAGCAATAGATAAATTACTGAAATATTGACAGAATATGTATTTATATAGCAACTTTATTTAATTGAACCAAAATTAAACAAATAAGGGGGGGTCCCATATAACAAACGCGAATTTTTTGCTCGTTTCCGGCACGACACCTATCGTACGCGAGACCGATTCGCACTTATTATTGTAGATAAGAGCCAATTAGAGACTTTAATTACTCTTCATATGAATATCTATATCATAAATGCACTTTCCTATATCTTTTGGGTCGAGGTATTTTGCACTTTCACTGTTAGTGATAATAAAAAAAGGCTTTAGCGAATTTACAATAATATTATTATTATATTGTTTATTACTGTTATATTCTAGTCAATAAAGATTTATAATAAAAGTATATATTATTCTGATAATAAAAACAATATTAATTATGACCGTTGTTTCTTAACAAATCACTCGAAAACTTCCATCTAAAAGTTTAGAGTATTTAATATTTAGGTCTTTATATATATAATTTAAATTTTGCATTCACAATGTTACATTGATGATGAAATATCTTTAATGAAATCCAATAATACGAGGGTCAAACTAAAAGTTCTTAGAACTGGCCACTTATAAACAATATAATAAAAAAATTATTCTAAAATTTGAAAATATAACTCTTTGCCAATATTACTGAGTATATATTTCATTCATTTGTCATTTGTTTTACGATTTGGCGGCAAATTGAAAATTGTCTGTGTCACGTCATCATGAATTTAACACGAGAAAATTTTCGTGCAATGATTTTTTATGACTTTCGATGTCATTTAAGACAACAAGAAAGTTATGATAGACTACGATTGGCCTTTCACGATGAAGCCCCATCTCGTGCGACTGTTAACAACTGGTTTAATGAGTTTAAACGTGGTCGCACTAATCTCACTGATGATTTACGTGAGGGACGGCCTTCTACGGCGACGACTGAAGATAACATCTGTGTTGTGCGGCGTATGATAGAGACTGACAAAAGAGTGACCTATCAACAGATTCGGACAAGCTTAGGCATCGGTATGAGTCAAGTGCACAAAATCCTCCACGAACATTTAGCGGTCAGGAAGCTTTGCGCCCGGTGGATACCTCATAATTTGACTGAGGCTCAAAAACTCCATCGTGTGGATTGGTGTCGTAAAATGATTGAAAGATTTAACGGAGGTGACTCAAATGCTGTGTTCGACATACTAACAGGTGACGAAAGCTGGATTTACTGTTATGATCCTAAAACCAAAAGACAATCTGCTCAGTGGGTGTTTCCTTTCGAGGAGTTGCCAACTAAAGTAAAGAGAGATCGAAGTGCGGGAAAAAAAATGGTGGCCTCGTTCTTTGGAAGGATAGGTCATTTTGCAACAATTGTGTTAGAGGATCAAAAAACAGTTTCTGCAGAATGGTACAATACCAATTGTTTGCCACTTGTCTTGGAAAAAGTTCGAGAGAAACGACCTCGCAGTAGGATCCTCCTTCACCACGACAACGCCTCGTCGCACACCGCCAAGCGAACGATCGACTATTTGGCGACATCAAACGTTGAATTACTGGGTCACCCGCCGTATAGCCCCGACCTCGCGCCTTGTGATTTTTATTTATTTCCAAAAATTAAAGAAAAACTTAAAGGAAAGCGGTTTATGAATGCTGAAGAAGCGGTGGCTGCGTATCGCGATGCCATTGAAGAGACCCCTAAGGACGAGTGGGCAAAGTGCTTTTCCCAGTGGTTCCATCGCATGCAGCGGTGTATTGACGTGAATGGACAATATTTTGAAAAGATATAATAAAACTAATAACTGGCTAATGTAATCAGTTTTTGATTTTCTAAGAACTTTCAGTTTGACCCTCGTACAGTTAAATAAGAATCCAATACAGTTGGTTATATAGAAATTGACAGACTTAGGTACTGCTAAAATTCATGATCCACGTACTGTTACGCAGATCCTTTAATTGTCGATTTAATATGGATTGTTTAATGTGCGGTCAGCAAAAGGTTTTTCGTTGAAATTTTATATAATTGCCTAATTACGGGTCCAATTATGATTATTATCAATTTTGATTTTAATCTCACCAATATTGTGCTTCCCATCATCTTGAAACGTCATCATAATAATTATAAATAATTAATTAACAACTTTTATGTCCTCAGTAGCTAAATTAAATTTTCTCTACATAATAATTTTGAAGTAAAGCAAACCCGACTTTGGCTTGTGTTTCCAACCACACACAAAGTCAAAAGCCTTGCATAATAATTCACAATATATCTTGAATTTGGAAGAGAAGAAATCTAGTTCAGAAGACACTAAGATCATATATAGAAACAATTTAGACAAATAAAAATTATAAACATTCATTCTTTATACTTTATTACTACTTTTCCATGAGTTCAACCTGTGAGTTCAACGCATTAGCCAATGTCACCCGCGTATGATGTAGCTTCCCGTATGAAAGATTTTTTATTGTCTGTTTAGTATTTCCGAAGATTATCTATAAACAAACAAGATTAGAAAGCTATAATATTAGTATAGATGACAGTCTTGGAATATTCACTCAAAAATAAATAGTAAACATATTATTTACAAAGCAATCACGTCCGAAATTATTCGTGATGCGAAAGTCTAAGTCTCAAACATAAGTGGACTATACTCACTTAAAATGACATAGAACATTTATCTCACTCGCTCGCTAGCCACTCAAGTCTATAGAGTAATGAATAATTAAAATTTACACCAGCTAGTGCAAACTAAAGGTGCCTGTAGCGTTACAGTGGATATGGAGTTGCATAGCAAATGCGTCAGATTTTACCTACCTAAAGACTTCTAAAATTACTGGAAAATTACTCGCTAGAAAATTACTTGCTAAGTTGTTGTGTCAACACAACTTTGTCGGTTAATCGATAAGCAAGGACCAGTTGGTGCACCACGTAAGGTGTAATCGAATAAATATTGTCATGACATGTCCATTTTAGATGAGTAACTCTGTATTTTCTTAAAGACTTTTGACAAAAAAATATCTGTGAGCATATTACACGACCAGCATTCAGTGGTCGTTTAATATGAAACCGAAAAATATTGTTATTATTGTCGTTACCAATAGCTGGTTTACACGTAATTAAGGAGATAGGTAGTAAGTTTTTTTTTTTTACTTAATCTCAAGTGATTAGGTACGAGTGAGCACACGAATATTCTTATTCGTGTACTCAAGTAAAAATTAGGTAACTACTTATGAGCTTAAAATTAAAATCTATTTACTACTTATGTCAAACTTATGAGCTCAGTCTTGATCTAAATTCAGCCTACGCGCATGGATGAGATCTACAGTGGAATGGGCTTGCCCAGAAGGAACCTTTTCACTTTCATATCTAAGAATAAATTGTCATAAGATTAATTCTAAAAATTTAAATGAAGATGAACGATTTTATTAAAAAAAACCTAATAAATAAATATTATGTATTTTGAGATTCATTTAACAGTACTTGCTTTATTTCACTTACTACTCGTACATCTTAGTTAATTTTAACTTTACTTGTGTATATTGCATTCATGGTTTCATTAGAAATTGGTGCCAATTATGTTATACTACAACAGATATTTGTTAGCTGTAATATCACTCTACAAAGTAAAATAAAAAAGAGAGTTTTGAAAATTAGTTCAAGTTTAAGTAATTATGCTTCTATGTAGTGTTGTGTCCTATAATATAATAAATTCTGTTATCTTTGTCGTTTACAGAATTCAAAATACAATAGGCAGGATTAAAACCAAAACATTTAGCCTAGTTCGTACCAACATAATCGTCAATTTCCTTTAAATTCATCATATAATCATAGTCTTGAATTCGTATCACGTTCTGAGTGTTGATAATTTTTCCATTCTCAGTTTATTAGGCTGTGGCAAGAAAAATAAATCTTACAACGTGGCGCGCTTAAGTGGCAAAGAGTGCAAGCGGATGAGAGGTTTCAACTGATGAGATTTAGAGATGCATGAGATATCACAGGTCTGAAACTGCTAATAGAAACTTTAAAATTCACCACTCTATGCAAATACATATTTCGTGGAAGAAATCTTTATCTGTACTAATAAATTTATAAAACTACTAACTGTTTTCCCGTAAAATATAGCTTCCCGTATATGAAAGAATTTTTAAAATCAATCCAGTAGGTTCGGAGCCCATTCGATGCAAAAAAAACTATCAAATCTACAATCAGATTTGCTGCATTACCATGTTTTACTAGTTTCATCTTTTGATAGCTTCAAAGAATGATATCTCTACGCGTTCCGAAATAAATAGTCTTGATATATATACAGATAGAGCAACAAAAAAGTGATTCTTTATTCTATATGCAGCAGGTATGGACAACCTTGGACATGTTGTGGGCCAAACTTTAGTGTTCGAATACGTACGCGAACTGCTTTTAAAAGTAGTACATTTCAAATTAATGTTGAAAGATATCAGAAATGAGGAGTTTTCAAAATGTCTCGCGGGCCGGCTGTTGCCCACCGAACTCTAAAAATAAAGAAAAACATATAATACATTTAAAATTCTCAGGTTGGTAAACACGAGACGTTCACCTTTTAAGCAAGCTTTACTAATTAGATTAAATTAAAACAATTTGCGACGGAGTCAAACTCCTAATAGAATTTAGCAT